TGTCCCTCTGTAAAATATGTCCAACGCTGGGTGTGTCTACTGACTTGATTAAGTTTATCTGAGGATTTGAGGTGATAAAACCATCATCATGTCTATATGACTTTGATTTTTTTTTAAATTATATATATATATTTTTACATTTTATTATGATTACACATTTTGAACAAAACCCTCAGAGAAAAAACAAATCTTGGTATCTGTAGAGGGGCCACAAGGTGCCTCCCACAGTCAGCTGCTTGTAGGGGAGATCTATCGTTTTGTTAACCAAATTCAGAGTTTCCTGCTTGCTTTGCTTCTACGGTTGCTGTAGTTTGGGTTCATGAGTTTCATAGGTTGTTAGGTCAGTTTTGAGGATGATTTTGATAGGGGGGGGGGCCCTTGGACATCAAGGTAGAACCAAACAATCCAAATCAGGCAATTGAGAAACACGCATTTTACACTTGTTTGTATTTTATGAAAATAAATGGAATTGAAAACCTGCACTGAAATTTCAGTTTCCCACTGAACTTACACGTCTTTTTCTATCCTTGCTTAAGCCGCACACACACCATACAAGAGTGGGATACTTCCTGGCATACACAATGTAGACATACAAACACAGTATTCAGTGCAAACACAGCATGAGCAAATGAAAGCCATCTTCTTGACTTGTTTTAACCTGAACAAGGCCTCACTCCTTCCTGCATGCACACACAAGCACACGGACACACGCACACACACACACACACGTACACAAACATATTTCTGTCCCCACTTGGAAAGCCTCTCAGCTTCTTTTCGCTTCATTCAGTACAAATAACTTCACGGTGGGATAAAAGCATAATGTTTCCAGAAAACCTCTTCCCCCCACTTTGCTTCACTCTTTTGGCCCCATGTTCTCCTTCACTTTTTCCTCCAACCCCCTTCTCTTGTGCTCTCTGTCCAAAAGGACATTCTTATTTCATTAGAGGGGGGTCTGGGAGGCCAAGAGGGTAAACAAAACCTCTGTAATCAACAGCAGGACATACACAACCACAATGAGCCAATCAGAGCCCAGTGTCCTTTTAGACAGAACCATAGCTAACCAATACAAATCCACACCTGGACGCTCAGAACTTGAACTTGCCAACTCAAACTCAGCACTTAGGTTTGTGTGGAATTCAGAATGTAGCCTAGCTCTGGGAGTCAAGGTTATCCATAAAAAACACCAATCAAGGCATTTACGCCTGCAAAGACACCAATACACGCACATACATACAGATCCCCGGCTATTTGTCTATCGGTGCTGTCATCTCTGTTTGCTCATATTAGTGAGGGCTCACTCAGGGACAGGATATGGGGATTAGGTCTGGCCTTATTGCGCTGTAGCTACACACCGCTAAATGGCTCCCATCTGTTCTTACATAGAGGATGGCTAATACATGTTAGCTCTACTCGCATTGTGCACTGCCAGAATAACAGCAGTGGATAGATGAGTAGCACTGATATCGCTAGCCACAACACCACTCTGTGCTAAAGGCTAATGTGCCTGGCTTATTCTATTAGATTGGGATAAGAAGCACTAATACACACATACATACACACACACACACGTGCATACACACGGCATCCTGATATCTGATTGGAGATACCGAAGCAGTAGGCTAGTCACAGGTCCAACTCTAGGTCTACCTTGAAGGAATATACGTTAAAGCAGGGCAAGCTGAAATCTGGGGAGAGGTGGAAAGAACAGGAGTGATGGAAAAAGATGGAGAGATGGAAAGAGAGGGAGAAAGGGGGCAGTGTGGTCTGTTTCATTACGGTGAATCCTGACACTGCTGCATTCTCAGCACACATGGACTGGATTATAGGCTATGTGGGCTGCTCCGGCACTGTATAGCTCAGCAACGCTCTCTTGCAGACACACACACACACACACACACACACACACTTGCAAATGCACACACAAACATCATAGCTAAATACACTAAAGCTCTGCAGTGCAGGAAGACAAACCATTTGCTCACACACAAGCTATAGGACTCTTAATCCCAAAAGCAGCACCAGGGCAAAGTGCACAACTACTAAGTCATTGAGGTTAGAGAGAGAATCTGCTTGTGATGGTCCACCTGTGGATTACTGGGGGAAAAGAATGAGATGCACTGGAAACTATGAGTATACCATGTTGCCTGGTTTTCTTTCTCGTTCCCACATAAATACAAGAGCACCCTTCCCCTTTTCCTCTCTTTTCCCATCTCTATCTCTCGTCTCACTTGCACATTTATAAATCTCTCGTTTTCTCTGTCTCTCTTCGTCTTACACACACATGTATTAGCTCCAAGCGAACCATTACCCTCTCTGTACAGACCTCTTTCTGCACGTCTGCGTTCAAAGGCATCCTGAGTCTATGGGGGGGCTTCGATATAAAACCCCCAAAACAGGAATTATCCTTTATGACTCTGCATTCTTCATTTTATGCTTTTTCAGCTTGAAGCCTTAAAAAAAAAAAGCTTCATGACTGTTCTGTGTTGTATTGTAATTAACTACCCCACACACTGGCACACAACAGGGTGGGGTAGTGCGGTAAAACTTTACAACGACTGAAAAAAAGTGGGGCGCGGAGAGACAGACTTGTCCATCTCTGGTTTTTCTCACTATGTCGTTTTTATCACCTATGGGCCCTGGTAGGCTCGCTTTAGGCTGCTGGGTATGTATAGGTCTAATACCATCAAGTTACCTATATAGCCACAGAGTGCACACACAGCACACGGCACAACCGGCATATGAGCACTTCACAGAAGGGCAGCCATAAACCTCTGAATAAACTGAGGCTCTTTAGTCGACTGAAATTCATAAGCAATGGGAAAAGGAGCCGGGTTCTATTACACTCTCTTCTGTCAGAGTTGGGTAATGCTGTGGTTATTGTGGTATCATCAATGTTCCCGGCTAATGGTTACTTGAGCCCACTGAGGAAGCCTATTGTGTAGAAGATCATTAAATATCTAGAGCAGATATACAGTACTAAACACTGGCAAAGAGTACATTAACTCTAAAATTAGCAGAAAAATAGCTGTGCAATAGAAACTTACCGTGGACAAATGGATGAAGGGTCGCCACGGGGAAGGCCATCATGCCCATATTCCCTCTTCATCATCCTGTGAGAAAAACATGGGAAAGAAATCATAATTGTCATTATCCATTCATTAACCCTCAGTTTACGTGTTTAGTTCAAAAACTGCATGTATGTGACTGAAAATTGCTTTCTTTTAGACCAAACTATTTACTGTACAAACTCTGGCACAGTGGTTATGTCTTTACTGGAGTCTCATTGCCTAATCTTATGGTCCTTCTAACCCCCTGTGGCTTTTAATCAAAACAATCCTGTTCATGTTCCTCATTCACAAAAGCTGTGTATGATATCATGAAATGCTTTCCTCAGTGTGATTGTTAGGAACCAATAACTAAACACACAAGGGGTTTCCTTGGGGCTGAAACTGTGCAGGCAAGAGCCCTGCTAACAGGAAGGCTAATTCACTCAGACACTAACATTACAATGGTTAGCATGAATTGGCAGCTCACTATAGCCAAGCCTTTGCCTGTATAATGCTAAAGTAGGCTCCGCTAAAGCAATGTGCTTGTATGCTAACGCTACACAAGGGCAAAAAACACAAGGGCCTTGGCTGCAGTCCACAGTGGCTTTGGCTGGACTGAGTGGTTGTGACAGGCTCAGTAAACTCAGTAGGCTATACCTAAGCAGCTAAGCTATAGATATAATGGCCTTTCAATGGAACATGCACGATGCTAAATGCTAACATTCAGTGAATGACTGTGACAGGCCCTGTAAACAGAGCCAGACCTATAACCACTCATTCTGCTAGGTTAAACACACACACACACACACACGCAAAACACACGCACAAACAGGCCAAATACCATGTGCTACTTCTCATAAATGTGAAGCAGGCAGCATGTTAAGGCTTAGAAAAAAAGAACAACAACCCAAAAGAAAAGGTTGTATAATTCTCTCTGATAAACACTTTATGGCTGTTTTCTATTTCCTTCCGAGGCTGCTGCCAAGTATCTGGCAGTGGTGCTGGCATGGCTAAATGAGAACAACATGAACACAACATGCCCGTCAAACTGCACACACTCCATGCTGAGACATAGGCCTGGGGTGCATCTCAAGAGGCTAAATCAACTTCCTGTGCTTGTCTCCTCTGATTAAATTTCACCTGTCCTCAGACTGAGTCCATCACAGATTATGTAGACTGTAGAGGACAGGGAGTATAGTTAGAGGACTGGGATGGACCCACTAACTGTGGCAACAAGCTTTGATTGACATGTGGTCTGGCTACTTGGAAAAACCTTGAAGTGTGTTCTTGTGTTTTTGTGTCCACTATTCCAGTGCATGGATTTGCACTTACGTGTCTTAAATATGCCAACTGAGTGTGCATGGGGTGTGTAAGTGTTTGTGCGAATGCAAATGCAAATGCAAATGTAAAAAAAAAAAAAAAAAATTAAATGCATGTGTGGTCACTGTTATGTTATTCATGGCACTGGCTATATCTTGGAAAGGCATTGTGGTCTCCAGGGTAAGCGTGCAGACCCTCTTCATCATAATTATCATTATCATCATCAATCATCCTTCGAGTCGCGTTCCTGGACCCGGCAATGCACTGAACCACTGGTCTGGCTGCACTTGGATATTACATTTGAGAGGGGAAAGATGGAGGGAGAGAAGAGACTGAAGGAAAGAATGAAGGAGACAGGGAGGCATGGAGAGAAAGAATGTGGGTGGCAAGAAAATACACCAGGAAGAAAAGCGATGTTAAAGAATTAAAAGAAAAGACAATTGAGGTATGATGAAAAACCCTGAGTGGTGAAAGCATAGTAAAAAAAGAGGGGAAAGGAAGAGAAGACGTAGAGGAGAGATAGAAAAAAGAGTTACAAAAACAAATAGAGTAATTAATCACTTGAATCATTTCAAAGAGGAAGATTAAAGGAGATGTGAAGTCCTGTGTTTGGAGGGAAGACAGTCTCACCTCAGGGATGTTAGTGACATCCAGACTGCATGACCTGTCATCCCCCATCAGCAGTGCACACACACATGCAGACACACACACCTCGGAGGCCTTACCCTGACCTCTGCCGAACTTCCCCATTAGGTCAAAGATCAGATATGAGGAAAAGCCACGAGGTGATTGGCTGACCTCTGTCAACAGGGTCTGTTGTTTTTGAAGTGTGTGTGCTTGAGACAAGAGGAAGAGCAATAGAGAAACACTTGGCTAAATAATCATCAGTTTGGCAAGAGGTTGTGGAGAGAAGGGGATAATGATTCTTCAATGCACATCGTTGATTTGGAAATTTTGTTACTATGCAATGTGTCTTGTTTTTTGTAATTTTGTAAATTAAGTCTGAGCCATCACAGTTCCCTTTTATAGACATAAAAATTCAACTTTAATAGAAGTCTAATTCAGCCAATCGGCTCAGATTTATGAGTTATTTTGTTATTCCCCACATTCTTAACAAGATTTCCCAGCAACACTAATAATACTTTCTTTGCAAGGCTTTTTCACTCAAACTTGAAAAGTTGAAATATCACTTGCAGAGAGCTACCGTTTCGTATGTCAAACACTATAAAACACAGCTGTAATAAAACAGTGTTGGATAGCCGTATTGAAGGAAAGATATTTATAAGTGCAAAGTAAGGGAGAGTAATGTGTGATACTAAACACTGACCCCCTGCAGCTCTCAGTTTAATATGAAGCCTGCTGTGGTTGCAAGTATTCTACAATAGAATAGAACAATGCAAAGACTTGATAGCATTATAATATTGTTTTAGCATGTTAGATGAAAAACATAACATAACCTAATAACTACACAGCTAGAATTTAAAAGTGGTCCTTGTGGGATTACGAGAGGGGGGTGGGGGTTGAGCTATGTTCCATGTCATTTGTTTCCATACTCTAAACTTTCATATAAGCACATGCTGAAAAACTTAAAAATTAGATGTAGATTCATTCTATCGTTGAAAAGTATGCAAATGTTCACATAAATATACTCTACTTTAATATATAACTCAAGTGTGGCTGAGATTCTGAGTAAAAAGTGTGCATATGGATGTCAATCAACCCCAGACCCTCACATTCTTTTAGAAATCAAAATAGAGTCTTTCCACAGGCGTAAAAGGCTAACATAATATTAAAACCAGCTATCCTGTCCTCTTACATATTGCTGAGGTATGTGTAGGGTGATGCATGGATATGATTGTGTGCTTGTATGCATGTGCGTGTGTTGGGGCAAGGACAGGGGATCCCCAGTGCATGTTTGACTCCAATTTAGACAGCAGTTTCAGAAACATTTATAAAGTCTAGAAACATATAATAGTGTATATCAAATAGAACAGATGTGGGAATTTAGACTGAGGTGGAAATCCCCAGGCATTCGTTTTAAACCCCCAAGCACATATTCGCACACACTTCATCTTCATAGTTTGGAATCTCCCCAATCACAACCTCTTGACAACAATAGAGCTGTGATGAGTTTATACTGCATTCAAATAACTACACGTTTTTATTAGCTAATGGAAAGACTGTGAAATCATATCTGTCTTTCTTTGAAGATCGCTTTCTCCCGATTGCGCTTTTATCTGGGTACACAGTATCAACAAAGACTCAGGTGTGCATCCACACGTGCACACGTACAGGCACACACACGCCTAAAGTATGCACACTCAGATGCATGCACGCTCACACAAATACACAAACACGTTGTGCTGATAATAACAACAGCTTGCTCTTCTTCAGATGTCTTCAAACAGACACATTATGTTTGTCCTCGGGGAAGTCTGGATATGATACTCAGACAGAGAGAAGGAGCTCGTATGAGAGATGAGTGATATATAAACTAATCTCAGACACAAATCCCATCGATCAAAAACACTCATTTGGCAGCTTTCCCCTTCAGGCTCCTTATCTAACTGATATGAATGACTATGACTTGGCAGGAAGTAATGGGTTTGAGAGAGAAGAGACAGAGGAGAAGAGAGAGGGGAAATTTTGTGCTGCCGAGTCCGACCACAACTGACTGGTGGTGGAGATGACAAATATGAAACTGAATCAACTTTAAAAGCATGGAGATGAGAGCCCACAACATGTCAACTTGTGTAAACAAGCTCAAGCTTTAAACTGGTTGGTGTGGGCGAGTGTGTGTATGTGCACTTTCATATTGACCTGGTCCATAGGGGGTCGGTGGTTGGCATGGGCGGGCCCTCTTGGCAGGCTTCGGTGATGCATGTTTGCTGGATGCAAGTGGTGAGAATGATGAGGATGATGTTGGGGGTGGATGTGATCTTCTTCATAGTTATCCGCTATCAGCTTCATTCTGCTCTGAGTCTGCAAAAAAAGGAGATAAACAAGAAAATCTATAATCCATAATTATAATATGCATACACTAGGCCATTTATTCCCCCATGATGCTTATTTGTTTCTTTAAAATGTTCTTGGGGTCTTAGAGTGATTAGGCTGAGGGATTCTTGGATGGGGGGTAAGCATGTTGAAAGTCATCAAAGATGATAAAAACAGCACAGCTAACAGGACTTGACAGGTCATAAATTGAGTGAGTCAGAGTGCCTGATGAAAATATTGTACGTCTGTCAAATGTCATCCATATTGCAGATTATCATTTAATTGGATTAGACGAGTCAGTCAGTAAGAACAGTTAGTGAGTGTTTCATGTAGCCTAAGGCCACGGGCGTTCTGGCCCGGGTGAAGCAACCTCATTTTAGATGTCATTGATTAAAATTACACTGAAATATGCATGCCTGTGAATGGGTAAGTAAGACTATGTGTCCTTTGTTTGTGTGTGTATGTGTGTCTGTGCATCTGTGTGTATTTGTGGAAGAGGCTGTCATCCTGCCAACATCATTGCTTTTGAGAGAGATAACAGCCTAGGCTGACTAATGTTAACAATCAGCCTAAATCCAGTGAGGCCAGCTGTCCGGGACATAGACAGAGACAGAGTAAGTGCAGATATATTGACAGGCTCAGCTTTATTCCCTTAACTGCAGATACTTCCCCTGAGGGCGGACATGACTGCAGAGCAGGAGGTGGTATTGTGTATGGGATGAAGATGATTGTTAGGAAAGATACGCACACTTCTCTCGTCCAAAATGTTGCAGCTTTCCTGGTTTAAATGAGAGACAGCCATGGCAGGAAGAGACAAAAAGCCTGAGTCAGTTGTGAAGATAGGGGGGAGATGGTGTTACAGTAGTCAGCAGCCTGGGGACATCGCTGCTGAGATAAGGAGCTGAGGCCTAATGACTGAGGAAATGAGCCAGTCAGGATCACAGGAGAGGATGTGGCTAGTATTAAAGAGGTTAGCAATTAGCTTAAATGGGAGAAGAGCTGCTTAGATAAGGTGAGAACATTGACACTGTGGTGAGAGGGACAGAGAGAGACAGCGATAAAGATGAAGAGTGAGGGATGGGGGAGGGCTCAGACAGACACCAGACCAGTGGTTAGAGCAGTTAAAGGCTAGGTTAAGGTGTACAGCCCTCCGTGACCTCAGGTGTTGACACTAGCAGGTGTGACTGGGTGGGGCTGGCTTCAATACAACAGTTACAGAGCTGACATGTCATTGAGGCTAGGACAATTACTATCATATACCATGCAGCTGATTAAACTACTGTACTGCTACACAGTAAAAGCTGTAGGTGCTCCCACACAGACTCTTCCACAATACCTAATAATGCAGTTTAATTCTCACAGAGAAATATTTTCAAAACTAATTTGTGGCCGAGGGTCCAAAAGGCTAATGCGTGTTTAGTCCTTGCTGCTAATCTAATAAGAAACATATTACTTGTTGCTGTTCATCTAATTACAACCATATTTGGAAGGATGAGAAGCCAAATGTCCTAGAATGGATTTGCATGTGACTGTGTGTGTGTGTGTGTGTGCACGTAGTTAATATTTAATGAACTGAGACAGAAACAAAAATGAATGAAGTGATGAATTGCTTCTGGAAGAGTCTGACTGTGTGGTCAGGGTAGCCCACATGTGGCCATCCAGTTTATTCAAACACACACACACTCTCTTCTTACAGGAGTATTCCTGTGTGCATGTGAAAAGGTGTGCACATATAAAATGTCTGTGTGGTGGAATGTGTGCGTTTTAATTAGTGTTAATTAGGGGCTTTGCAGAGTAAACAGCTCACTAATGGCCTCCAGGCCTGCTTGTAGATCAGTCAGACTGGAATAGACACAGGTGGCACTGCTGGGGGAGGAGAGGAGAGGAGAGGAGAGGAGAGGAGAGAGTTCTTGACATCTCTAACCATAACAGATTTGGCCAAGACAGTATGTGTGTGCAGCGAGTGGTCTCTGCATGTGTATCAAAGTGCAGCTGCTGGTATAAACATGGCAGTGATGATCGCGCTGCTGTGCTCACAGCTGCATCCCAAACCTCAATCTGGCCTCTGTAAATCACAAGCCCGTCCTGATTAGAGCAGAGCTGTATTAACACATGCGGACACAGGAGGCTGACAAAAAAAGTCCTTAAACAAACAGGCAGCTGGGGAAAGGCTGCACAATTTTCACAACACTTATACATACTCCTTTGATCAGGTGTGCGTGTGTGTGTGTGTGTGTGCAACACTGCCATGCTATCCCAGTGAAACGGCGTAACACCGTGACCCTGCTCTGAGCAGGCAGATAGTTTTACATAAGCCGATCCAAATGGCACACCTCTGAGAACATCAAATCCATATTTTCAGCATATATAGAGAGAGGATGGATGCTCAACTGTGTCCGAAAAAGAGAGGGAGGGAAAAGGGAGAGGAAAAGTCACCAAAAAATGGCATACCTCTGAGAATTCCAAATTCATCTTTTCTCGGCTTCAAAGCACCAGACTTCTGGTCATCCATCACCAGGATGGGACCACTCAAAGAATTCCCACATGGGGACACATTTGTTCTGACTCTCTCCTTAAGAAGTCTAAACACCACACTTTTCATGTGTATGTCTGTCTGTGTGTGTGTGTGTGTGTGTGTGTGTCTGAGAAACGAAAGTTTGTCTTAGACCGCCGGCTTTATGCACACACACATACCTACACACACAAGATCTTCCAAAAGAGGGATGTGGGGAGGTCAGACAGGGCACTGCTATCTGTAAATCTATCTGCTGTCTACAGATCGGCTTTCTCCTATGAGACTCTGAGTCTCATAATTCTTCGGCATTTCCTGGTCAGTTTCCTTCCGCCATTGGCTGTTGAGGACCTGAGGAAGGCAACCTCTCTTGATATGTGTGTCAGTGGGTCAGAAGACAGAGAGCCGGTGTGTGTCATGTCGAACAACATGATCTCGAGGGAGCTGATTCTGTGGAATGGAAGGAACCCAAGAAGTGCAAAGACTCCCTGTAGGAACTTCTTACTTTACAACCTCCATAACATTTATAGATGACCCAAACTTTTATCACCTCGGTGCTAGGTGGCCATAGCACTGCCTGGTACACCTTTCCACTTCGCATTTACATGGATTTATATGCATGTGTGCCAGAGGACCTTTTGAGAAACCAGTAAATGCTGCCCACTCCTCTCCTCTCTCATCCCTTCCTTTCTTTTCTTCTCCTCTCCTCTGCGCCAGGCCCGGAGGCCACAACATTGCAATTAGAGCTCATCACATCATCAGGTGGACTGTAACTGCTGCTTACCCAACGGGAAAACATGACGCATCCAATAGCGATAAACAGATAATAGGCTTTCCTTGAAATTCTTCGAATAGAATTGCCCCCCCACCCCAGGAACTGTTTACCGTTTACCAGACACGAACAAACATAGGTCCGCACTTAAATGCACACCCAGCCACTGCATCTGTTGACTTTTAAATGCACTGTGTTTCCCAGAAGCCCCTGTGACTCAGGAGACTGTATATGTGGACTCCCTGCTGTTGTCTCATTATTGTTAGCATTCACGTTAGCTCAGTCACTGATGTGGTCTGACCAGACCTTAATGACCCACATACCTTCATCAGCCTCAGGCTGTATTGAGAGCCAAGGCAACATGGGAAATAGGCGTGTGCGCGTAGGTATTTGTGTTAGTGTGTGCTGGGATTTGTATCTGTTTGACCAGAAGATGTGAAACAGAAAAGGTCCGCCGTTGACTCAACGATGAAACCAACCTACGTCTGCGACTTGAGTGCACCTAATAACACTGATTGCAACATGATTGTTAAGAGAATAGCTTTGCTCATGTGTTTATGCGCCTGGATTTGGAATCACAGCTCCTGCCCAACTGGTTTGGCTTATGATGACAGAACGCAGTAAGTGTGGTTTCAGGCGGGGAAGTCTACTCTGTTAACTACCAGGAATTATTAACCTCTATCTGTTCCTGGTTTTAAAGTTCAAAGGTCTGCCCATGAGGCTGTTTTAGTGCAGGCAAGAGCTTCACCGTCTGCAGCAGGTTTGAATTTGTAGTTCTGCTTTGATTCACCAAGCCAGAATCAGTCCACAACGGTTACTGCAAAGGCCAGGTCCCACTGGATTCATTTGCAGGCCAGTCAACCTCTTAGATATGAGTGCTTTAAATTGAATTCATCGTTTATATGCACATATAGATTGCTTTGTGGTCGCGTGTGGCGTACGTACCTGCTGTTTGAGCTGGTGCATGAGCCTGTCTTTCTCCCTCTTCAGAGCCATCACTTCCTCCTGGGATTTCTTCCGTTTAGAGGAGGATAACTCCAGCAGGGCAATGTTAGCATCCTTCTCACTGATGGCTGCCAGCAAAGCCTGCTGCCTGAGGGGATGAGAGCAGGAAATGTGGAAAGAAGGGTGCAGAAGGTAAGAAGGAATGTTGTCATAAATGGACAAAATATAAAAAATACTTCATATATATTCTCCAAAAAGTTGTAATGTGAAAATATGTTTAACAATCAGAAAATAGACAGGTGGACACAGATACTCAGCACCCGAATCTGCAGCTGTGGGCCCTTACGTATGCAGATGTCACAGCAAGCTCACTCATTCCAGAGCTCCTTAAACTCAGACAGAGATGCCGCAGAAAAGAAGCAGACATCTTTGAAGTGGTCTGCTAAGTGCTGTCTTAGTGGTACCTCAGTGTGACTCATGGGCATGTAATAATGTAATGGAGCCTAATAGAGTAGGCTGAGGAGGATATGACATCTTTCCTCCGTCACCGCCGGTTACCACAGTATGTGTGTGTGTGTGTGTGTCGGTGGGTGCCTGTATGGACGGGGGTGGCAGCAAATGACTGTCTACAGGTGCAGATGAAACATACCACCAAGTGTCATCATGCAGACAACCAGATGTACAAATGTACACCCACAGGATTCAAGGGAATGCCTTGCATAACCCCACTTGAAAAAAGTCTGATTCTTTGGAGCAATTTGGTGATGACTATCCCCTTCTTCAAGCAGGATGTCGTAAATCCGATGTTGTGACAAATACATTCTATCCGCCCACTCTTGTAAGCACACTTAAAAGCACAAACATATTCTCATAGCTAGCCAGACATACACACCTGCCCTACTATGGCCATTGACCCAAGGCAAACCATAAAGCACACATTTATGTATGGTTCTTTGTCTTTGTAAAGTTCATCTGAGCAAACATCACAGGAGTCTCAATCTTTCAAACTAGTGTGTAGACACTGAAGGTATTTTAAGTTGGATAAACAAAACTAAATGCTGAAAGCTCAACTCCAGAATCTTAAATCGCGTTTGAAATTAGGAGGGCATTAAATCAGCGTGGTAAGGTAATGTGTGGGTTTCTGTAAGGTGAGGGGTAGAGGAAGAGAAGGGAGGGAGGGTGCATTCAAAATACACTTTGGACTCAATTAAAAATTGACCTGCATTGGAGTGTTTTTATTCCATGATTTAAGTCCCTGTAGAAATAACTAAATTGTGAAAATAAACATGCTGAACTCAGAATAAAGTCCTGCTGGCCTGGGACTCAACATTCAGTGTTTTTAGTACAATTATCTGCATGCCGCATCTGGATTCTGGATTCTCCCATTCAAGGCCATTAATAGGCCTCTGTGTGTTTGTGCATGCTCAAGGGTGCGCTTGTATGTTGTGCATGTATTTGTGCGTGCATGCATGTGGGTTCTGACATGGATTGGAGCAGCTAATCACACCATTAATCACAGAGCAGGACCAATGTGACACTTTTCGTCTCCCCACACCTCCACTGTTATTCCTTTTAATGCTCACTGTAATGGGAACACACACACACACACACACACACACACACACATATGCACAGACCTACACTGGACTTGTATCAAAGCAAATGCTTTAGACTGCAGGCTTTTTCAGCTTGAACTGGCCATTCACAATGTAAAATGGGAAAAAAAATCTTAAAGTAAAAAAAAAAATCCCATCAAGAAATCCACACATTAAAATCCACAAATCAAACAACAGTGGGATTGATTTTTAAATCCCTCTTTATATGATCCAGTTTTACATCCATAGCTTAACAAACCTAATGATGAATTTTGCATTTTAGCACATACAGCAATCCCATTTCCATTACTTTATCTTTGGCTGTGTTAAATAGAGTGAAGAGGTGATGCACAGAGTCATATATAGGCAAGGAATGCGGCACAATGTGTCACTGTTCATAAACAGTATGTCAGATTAACAGCCCTAACCTACTTGTATGATGGCCATCTTTGCACCACACTGCCAGACATGGAAACTCCTACATCAGACCACATTCACACTTTTCCTCATCTCTCTTAGCATTAACTGCATGCAATTACAGCTTGAGATTTTTGTTTATTTAGGTCAGTATGTGTAAATACACATACACATAATCGCACACTAACCAGTCACCATTGGGAATGGAACAACATTTTTAGAATACTTAAGCAATCTAAGTGGGTGATGCATTAAGTGCAGAAAAGTATGGGTGAAAGGTTAGGGGCACTAAACCCCACCCCAGTTTTAAAGGGGAGGTTTATCTAATCTGTAAACTCATCTGAAAAAGCCAAACAGAAATCCATCTCTTTCTGACCACCACTGAGTCACTTCATCAAGGATTGTTACACTCCCATTTATCAAGTTGCCCCCGCTGAATGAAACTAATGAAAGACACAGTTTTGGTGGTTGGTTAGTTACAAAAATAGTAACAATGATTATGAAACACTTTATTGATTCCAGCAAGTGTTGCAGTGACTTACTCCCAGTTTACTCCAACTCAAGAAAAGCCATACACAAAGCCCTCTGACATTTTAGACATTGTCTGTGTGGCATTGCAGCTATTGCAGACCTCTGCAAGGAAGCTATACTCAAACAGAATTACTTATTGTTGTCTTTTTATGAACAGAGCATGTGTTGCTGTCTCTGAAGACATTGCTGTCCCATTCATCTCACCTGCACTCCCCAATACAGGTACAGACTTTGCAACTGAAAATTACTGATTGACCTCGAGACGCTCTGAGCCCGACTGAATTAAACCTCTGAACCACAGTGGTGGCCATGCTTCAGCGCAAGCTAAATCACTTCCAGGCTCTAAATTAACACAGCAGATTACAGCGCTGTCTCCCTGTGGGTGCTCTCTGAGTGGTACTGCAAGATTCTGCTGAGTGATGTCTTCCTAAAGCAATAAAAAAAAGGGGACATTACTATGATTAGCCAGCCTGTAAACTTTGTCTCCCACATCCTCAATCAGTGATTGTGTGTGTGTGTGTGCGTGCTGATTAGTATTACTAACAGCCTTTAAAACCAGAATCACACTGGAGTATTTAATCACATCTACTTTGAGTGGCCATTTGGCCTTGGTTGTAGAACACACTTGCAATGTACATGAATCTAGCAGACAGGATTCATCTATCAGACACACACACACACACACACACACACACACACCCTCAGACACGCACAAAGACACATGCTTGTACTGTATCTGCTGACTGATCTTGAGTGGGTGAAACTTCTTTCTTTCCTCCCCTCTTGTCTCACTCCCTGCTTAACTTTGACTTGGCGTGTCCTGGACAAACAAAGGATTATCTTAATTTCCCTCCTGATTGAAAGGGCGACAATGAAATGGTTTTTCATGACAAACTTGTGATTAGTCTTCGTAAAAGTCAGACCCCATGCACTGAGAAGCCATAAGGCACTCCAATAAAAGAACAAATAAATCCCACTGCTGGATCTCCAATGTCAAAAATCTCATCTACTTTAGTTTTTCTCTGACATGACATAACAGTATTTTGGCTGACAAGGTAAACATGACACTCACATAAACAGTTGTGTCTTTATATATATCTCACATTCCTCATGTTTACTTTTACTATTCTAGAGTAGGATAGAGAGAGCATGCAAGGCTCTGTAGAAAAGCAGAGGCTGGACTGACATCTTATTTATAAGGGGTGAAACTCTCAGCTCCACTACAACATGTGATTCCAATTGAACCTTCATGGTCCCTGGGACATATTGAGACATTTGGATCCACAGAGGTGGGAGATAAATGGCTAAAGTACATGACCATGCGATGAGAGGTGAGAGGGGCTAGGAAGGGGGGAGGTCAGCAGAGACGATATGGAAAGAAAACAAGGAATGCAAAGAGTGGAAGAAGAGAAGGGTAAGGAGATGTGAGACGGAAGGAGATAATTCAAGACAAAGGAATGATGAACGAGGAGAGAAGACTTTGATGAAGACATCTTTGAGGTGGGGCTGCTGTCGAAAGGACTGCAATGTCACAGGGCAGCTGGAAGACTGGCAGCTCGCACAGATTTCTGGGTGACGAGGGGTTAAGATGGGGTCAAGAGTGAGCATAAACACACGTGCATACATTTGCACAAAATAAATTCAAATAAGGAGGATGATAGGGGAGGTATACTGAAGGGGGAGAGAAAGTATGGCAGAGCCAATGAGTCAAGAATTAAAACAATAAAAAAAGACAAAAGATGGCAAGAGATGAAGGCAATAGAAGAGAGGAGGTTATGTGTTTGACAAGAGTGACTGCCACCTGTGCTGCATGAGAGAGAAAAAGGCGAAGAAAAGTTGAGAAGGAAGGGAAGAAAGGAGCAAAGGTAAAGATTTAAGAGTCCCAGCCTACCCTAAATCAGCTCAGCGCACTCCATGTTGTTATTCCTAGGCGTCACGGTTGAGGGATGTGTGTTTATAATTTGTGTTATGACTTACTTGAAATTATGAGTGTGGAGAGTCAGTGGGACAGAAACAGATGCGTCCATGTGATGCCCGAGGGAACCATCAATACTGTCTGCCCCTAAGTGCAGTGTGTTCATGTGTGCAAGCATTTGCCTGTCTTTGCACACATTTGTGCTTTCATGTCCGTGTGTGCATGTGTGATGTATTTTTTTTAGCAAAAACATGGGGAGCCCACTAATATCTGTTCCCAGAATGTCCATTATGAGGTCTTCTAGTTTGGGATCATGCCTTTCCACCACTTAACTGTCCAGCGCTGCAGAAAAATTCCACGGGCATTTTATGGCCGTTCCTTGATTGTGAGTGTGTGAAGGTGTAGCACAAGGCTGGGGGCCCCTGACTAGGCCGTACTAGAGGCCTGTGGTGAGAGCAAGCAGAGGACATGAGAATGGGGCATGGTTGAGTGACACTATTATTTATGGCCTTGGAACACTGTGTTATTTACAACTAAGGAGGTAGGAAAAATGTCTATTTCCAACATAAAACACACGCTCTGGCTTCATTTGGTAAGCTTACTGCAAAGCCAGTTAAGATGGTAAATCTGTGTTTCAACCCTAAATGTGGGTTAAATGTATTTTTATGAGGTCCAAGTTTTGGCTACCTT